CGTAATACAACCAAACGAAAGTATTCCAAATGTTCTAAAAGCTTAATTTTAGCAACAATGCCTTTTACCTGTGGCTCGACGGGCCATAAAGTGTTCATGCGATGCGTGCGTTGTTATACAACAATTTCAAATTAACTAGAAGTGGACTGTACTAAATATTTTATTCAACAACTTTAATCAAATGCGTGCCATCTTTCAAGCGATGACTTACTACTAATAACAACAGCAATAAAAAAAAACTGAGTAAGCGTTTACAGGGTTGCTGTAATGAACATCTGCGCCATGCAAGGCGCCAAGAAGAGAAAAAATGACGTAATCTTACAGTTAAATAGTCTTAATGACTTAACAATTATTATTATGTAAATTACCAAATTGTTTACAATTTCAGCCTTTACTATAATTTCCCATTTTTATTTCCTCACCAGAATGCAAATCACTTAGACAGTTTTTGGAGTGTCAGACAAGAGCGTGTTTCTGATTTCCACTTGCTCCCTGCATTAGTTCCTGCTAGCTCTGATAATTTGTAATTATTAGTCTTTTCATTACTTCTGCCGACATTTGAATGTTTTATGATGATAGAGTTACTGAGCCAGATTAAATTGAAATTAAATTGTATAGTCCTTGACTACTAGTCCATATTTTCAGTTTAAATTTGACTCTTCTTGTTTAATTACATCACTGTGAGCTGTAATTGATTTTGTTGGCATAAGAACATGCCTTTATGTTCTAAATTCTTTTTAAGTAAGAAGCTTGTTTAAACCTTTCTCTGACTTTGTATTTACTAGAAAATCGATAAATATTAGCCGAAATGTCTGGGAAGGCTTTCAAATTAAAAGAACCCATAAATATTTTATTGAGTGTTGTTGTTAAGAAACATAAATGTTTTGTAGCTTTTAATGTGTAATTATCCTAATATCGTTTAAGAATTAATGTCATAAAAACTGTGAAATGTTATTAGATTGTGATTTTAATAGGGCTGTTTTAACAAATATTGTTAAAAAATAAATAAAATTTAATAATGTCCTTATAAATCCAAATCCATAATGACTAGGGTTATCTAATATCTAATTTAATTACTTATAACTGACTGCATACCCTTAAAAATTATGTTTGCATATTAAAGCGAGTTATTGCCTTTCATTAACTTTTACCATGGTCACAAGATAAAACACAAAAATGTAAACATTCATTTAAAACTTATTCTTCGCATCCAGTGAGACTTAATGCAAAACAACTTATCACCTCTGGTGCTTTAGTGGCTTATTAGATCCTTAAAATATATTAACTGAGTTACCACCCCTGGAACTCTACATGAAGCTACGGCACTAACTGCATCAGACAAAGTCCAGCTAACTTTCAAAACTTGCCATCCGTGCCTGAATCAGGCCTTTCAGGTTTGTTCTGATCAGCAGATCTTTCTCTTGGCAAGCAAGAGGGGTGACAACAACCAGTTTTTTGTTATGAAGGATGCTGATTATGATTTTACTTCTCATTTTAAACTATGCCATTTGGCATAAAATCTACTTACTACGTAGTAAACCTAGTGACAAAATGAGACATTAAAAAAATATCAACATAAAGCCAACTATTAGTAAAACGTAAATAAAATGTCACTTATCTTCTATTACAAAAGTGAAGTTCAGACATAGGTAATAATTTTAATTGAATCTATTCAGCTCATAGGTCCTTAATTTTTTTCATTAATTATCCTTAAAAGTACTTAATTTCCATGTGCAGAAATGTTTACGAACTCTTAATTAAATTCAAGTGAGGCATGGTAACATCAGAAATTGGCTTTTAATGAGTAATTAGGTTTGGAGTTAAACTGAAGGATTTTGTGGAGGAGGGAATAAGAGCCTTTTGGGTTTTCTTTGAATTTTCAGCTTCTGCCTTTAGTTGGATGAAAATTTAGCAATAAAAGAAGGAAAAATGAGGTGGAAGAAATATGCGGATGATAACTGGGGGAAGGGTGGAAAAATGAAGGAGGAATTATGCGATGATGATTCTCGAGCATTTTGAAGAAAAAGGGAAGTTACTGAAGATGTATTGGCATTATGGAAGGTGATCAGATGTACTGAAGGATATAGATAATGCCAAAAGATATGAACGAAAATCCCCTGAGAAGAAATGGGATGATCTGTATGTTCTTGTCACATGTGTGCAATGCCACATTTATGAGTCTAGATAGATGTAATGATTAAAGGAAGTGTGTATGGCTCAAATTCCTGATTTAGCGAATTAGAATATTGGCTTTTGGTACTGACTGATGATGCATGAAGATCCAAACTTTGTGTTGCTGTTTTTGAAGTATTTTTCAAAGAGCTTGTTTTGGACTGGTACTAGCTAGTGACCTAGAATATCGGCTTCTGGCTGATGATGTGTAAGGATCCATCTGAGAGTTCTTATCCGTGAAGTGTAATGTGAACTGATATTTAGCATGTTGGGGATGATGGCTGCCCTTTATGAACAATACCAAACAGTATTAAAAGCTGTTACCGACTGTGGTTGCATAAATTCATTTGCAGCCAGACCATTGGTGTGTTATCCTTCAGTATAGTGAAAGTTAGTTTTAGATTCTAGATCCCAAAATCTGCTGCTCATGTAAGTACCTTGCACCTCCTCTTAGTTTGTAGAGTTGATTATGTAAATCTGAATTTTTGAATGTAAACGTTTATTCAGGAGTTGAGGATTTTTATTTATCTAAGTCTTCATTTGTATGTAGATTGTGACTGTAATATGGTACATAAGGACTTGTATAAAAAAATGAATATTTTTGTAGCTAGAATTATGTGTTTATCTAGGATTATGTTTTCTGTTCATGACGGTATAATTAAAGACTTATAAATTGCATTATGTTAATTTAAACTGTGTTAAATTAACATAGGTTTAATTATCTGCTGTTGTGTTTGGTTATGCAAACGTTCATGTAAAAGAAAGATTAAAAATTTCGTGTGTTTATCAAATTTTTACACGATTATTGCACCACTAGAAATTTTCCTAAGTAACATAATTATTTTAATAAGAAAAGCAAGAAGTGAAATAGAATTAAGAAAAAAGAAAAAACTTTTACTGTGAATATTATTTATTATCATTTTTAACTGAATGTGAATAAATACAGATTAAAAGACATGAGTTTGAGTTTTCTTGACATAGTTTCCCAAAATATTGAATATAGATGGTTTGGTACTTATTAATACTTATATTTTATGAGAGAGAACTGTTTTAATTTTTCTTAATACATTCCATCAGTCAGGGATGATTGCAGTCCGGGTATAGCCAGAATTCTGACTTTTAAGATTCTGAAATCCAGAATTTCTGAATTTGTGTAATCTAGATTTATTATCTTTCTCCCATTTTCTTTTAGAAATAATATTCAGAGATTGTGCAAATTTAAAGCAATTTTAAAATGATTTATTGTGATTTAAAACTTTTAGATTATTGACAGAAGTTACGCAGGAGCTGAAGTGTCCAAGTTAAAAGAAGATAGAAAGTAGAAATACCACTCTTCATAAAACTGATTAGATATGTTTTAATTTGCTTCCATTTACCCATTGCTGAAAGTTCATTTAATTATATGAATATATAATGACAGAATGTAGAGCATCCTTGAATACTTATAGCTTAGATGTTCACAGATCATGAAACATTATTTATTCTCATTACACAAAAGTACATGGGGTGCTTTGGGCTAGGAAAATCTCTCTGAATATCCTATTGGTAAAGATTTTAGGAATAATTTAGTCATTAATAGGAGAGCTTTCCAAGTTAATGAACCATTCTCTTTCTTCTAATAATTTACATCTCCAGCACTTGTTACTATATATGCTTAAGTTCTAATCTGATATCTAAAGGGTTAAGTGAAAACGCAAAATGTCAGAATGCCTTACTGAACTTTCAGTTTTTAGCAAAGAAAAATATTAATGTAGCAGTTTCAAGAAATTAAACCTCCATCAAAAGCAAAGAAAGCTAAACATAGCTATTATTATTATTATTATTATTATTGTTGTTGTTGTTGTTGTTGTTGTTGTTGTTAAATATTGAGAAACCAAAAAGGTAGGCAACTGCATGAAAGAATATTCTGAAACATAAATTGATTCATCATAAATTAAAATATTTGTATTGTTTCTCTGTTGTATGATGTGTTGTATATGTATGATATAATTGTATGATAATATGGTAGTGGTATAATTATTTTAAAAGATATCTGATTTTTACTATATGGTTAGTGTTCAAGATTTTTGGATTGGGGCAGCAGTCACTCCTGGTCAGTTTAAGCTGGTGCTTTACATTTTAACATTTACATTTTAAATGCTTTACATTTTAACATGATAAAATTGAATATTGCATGATTTTAATATTTTATTGTTATATTACAGGTACTCTTCGACAGTACCTTGTGATTTTGGTAAATATGTTTAGATAATCTGGATGAGTACTGCTATTAGAAAAGGGAGAAAAAATTAATTTTAACTGCCGACTTCAGATGCAAAAATTGCCTACTCTAAACTGGACCTGGTAACTGATAACTGGTAAAATTTAACCCTTTTGGGAGGCCATTAATTTTAGTAAAAAGGCTTCATCCATTTTGATAAAAATAATAAAATCTTCCATCTTCAGTGAACAAGTTTTCTAGACAAACATTAGTCAATTTCTATATAAGTAATGTAGCAGCATCTATTGAAGTTAGTGAATATTAGGTTAGTTTGCAAAGATGTTTAAACTTTAGAAATTGGAACTACTGGTTAGTAGGATAAATTTTGGAGAATTCAGGAAAAATCTATGGAAGAAATTATTTTGGCAAAAAAATGTTTGGGAGAAATATCCTTTGGTATTTCAGCTGGGGGGGGGAGAATTGAAAGAATGGAAAATTGGAACATGCTGGATATTTCTGTCATTCTGGTTTATTCTGTGTTATTACATATGAATGCATTTTCTAAGTGTAAACATAAGTTTATTCCTCTAATTTTTAAAATCTTTAATATTCTAATATTGTTTTCTAGATTTGTATCCTCAACTTTTGATCCATTCATGGGTATATCTTTAGATTTAGGTAAGAACTTGTTCATATTTATAGGAAAATATATCCTTTATGATTACTGTATTATTATTCTCTTTATAATGTATAGACGCAGCTTTCATTCAACTTATTTCTATTAACATTACTATTGATAGGGAAATATGTTTCATCTGGCTTGCAATTTTCTTTTGTCAGGTCCATATTTATATCATATTCCATGTAACCAACCCTGTATAGGTGCCGATTATATAATGTGCATTTCCCGCTTTGGATTTTGCTTTGAAATTATAATTGTAAAAATTCTATGCAGTGACATTTCATTCTGTTAGCTGGTAGCTACAGAAGTCCAGTTAATTTTTCAGATGTAAATATCCAAGTAAAAATTGTCAAAGTTTGCTCTTAGCTTTGATATTTTAGTGTTGTATGTGGTTTACCTATCTGGTCAGAAAAGAGAACCTGGTTTTGAGTTCTTGACACAGTCGTGTTCTTCACATTACTGCTCATTTAATGTAAAATATTTTGAAATAAGGGAACCCATGACCCATGCACTGACATTGTTCTTGAGGAAGTTTTATAAAGTCACACAATCAGATCACATGCTTGCCTCAGTAATTGTTGAGGTCTAGAATTTCTTGTTGGTAATGGATGCATAAGGTAGAAACCAATTAGCTAATACTTTCTGTAGAAATATAGTTCAAGTTTTCATGATGCATGATTAAATACTACCTAATTGCCAAGAGAAGAAATCCTGAGTTTTGATAGCAGTAGATACCTATATTTTTTTACATATTGTTTTATAGTATTTTAAAAGTTTAAGAATAAATGATAAGAGCAAATTTGATACTGTATTTATTTAGCCACTGTGTTGTGAAAAAATTTTGATGTAAATATCTAGTACAATATGTAAGAAGTTCTGTGAAATATGTATAACTGACCTAATTTCTATAAAAATATCTGGCTAAAGATATATTGGCTTTTATCTATGGATTATGAATTTTACAATACTTCATCCCCCACTATGAAATCAAAAGTTTTGTGTCAGAGTTCAATTATGCAGGTGAAGCATATATTACTTGTATGTATTTGATGAATACTTTGAAGACTTTTGGCTTCATGCTTCCTTTTCCATGGGAATTACATCATGCTTGTTTTCATATAGCATATCATTTTGCTGTGCTGTACAAAATTAGTTATTGTATTACCTTTTGTATATGAGAATATGTATATCATAGACAAACAGATACATGTCATAATAATAGCAAAGGAAAATGTCGGAACACTGTAGATGCGTGCTTAGATCCATATTGAAGAAGAATTTTGATTGCGTAGTATTTAAAGAACTTGGCAGTCGAGGCAGTTTTAATTCCATTTTTATTTCCAATTGATATTTGTGGCCACAATCACTTGGCACTCTAGTCGTGCCTTTCCACAGAAGATTTACATTTTTGATATTGTTGGGATCGAAAGCAAGCCAGCGAAATTACATCTTAGCAGAGTAAAGAGCAAAGCTGAAGTGCGTAGTTATGAAGGATGGAAGCACGCGAAGAGAAAAGTTTTGGTTTACAATTCGGTGATTGGTTGTCAAGAGGCATCTGGTATTAACGGTTACGTAAGATCGCATGATTAATTTGAATGACGCAATGCAGATACGTTATTACGATTTTAGAATAGAGAGGAAGAATTAATGTTTATAGTTATATTATAATTCTGATTCATACATTTTTATCTTACATATTTTCCCCCCTTCAAAAAGAAAAAGGCGTAGCGACAGAGAAGCCTTTTTAAAGAGAAAGAGTTAAAGCACTAGCAAATGTTAAAAAAAAATAAAAGTAAATAAATCATAAAATTTTTGTCCTGTAAAGTATAATTTACAAATATCAATTTTTTTACAATAAATTTTTAATTTTTAGAGTCCTATTGTATTTTTCAGCATTTCAGTCCAAAAGTCTTTTTGTTTGAGAGTTCACATAATCATAATTCTTCAGGGAAGGTTCTTGTTATTACAGAATATCACAAAATAAAACTTTTATATAATCATTACTTACACATTAGCTTACGACGCAATCAGATTACTTCCTCTTCAATATAGGATAACTACGCATCGACACTGCTCCGTTATGTCCTTTGCTTTTATTATGACATACATATGTTGAGCTTATTTATAATGAGCTATGACAATAAATTTGAAATGTTAAATAAAGTAAATAATTTTTTCTGAGTAATTATGACTTATGAACTTTTGATTATTATTTAAATGTATACTGAAAAATAAAGATTAGGGACAAAATGCAAATTTTAAGACTTGAAAATTGACAATAAATCGTTGAAACTTGCTGATCGTGTACTATAATATGAGGCAGATTTGACTGTTCAGTGATTTTTATGTAAATGTTTGGATTCACATAACTTGATAGTTATTGGTGGCGATGAAAATTAAATGAAAGTAAGCATATTTTGTTTTTTGTTTATTAAACTGTAGAATTTTTTATTCAGCTTATAGTGGCCATTGTGTGATATTCTGAAATAGATATCTAAATAAATTGAATAGTCAACTCAAGGTGCAGAAAATAAACTGAATTTCCACAAAGCATACTTTCACAGCAGAAAGAAAAATTTTAAGTGGATTTTCTAGTAGAAGGTGCACTGCAGTCAGTTGTGCAAAATCTCAAGAGCGGAAGAATGAAATGCAAAACTAGAATGTCTTGATCCGGATTTAGATTGTTTAAACAGATGTTTAACTGTGACAATAGAAACCTATAGTTTTGACAAATGGCCATCTTCTCTTGTCCATAATTCCTTGTGCTAAAAATGATATCAATTGACTACCTACATTAAATTTTCTTTGTTGTGTGTATTTCTTCTGGAAAAATTTAATAATTTGTCATTTATCAAAACACTTGAAGGGTTTGATGCTTAAAGTGAAACTGTTGTAAAATTGTCGTAGCAGAAACCTTTCATGCACTTCCTTCTGTAATGATCGTAACTAGATTGTTTAATCATAACTTCAGCTAGCTTGAAGTTATGCAGAAAAATAAAAAAATTGTTGTATCATAAAGCTCTATTCTTAATGAAAAATAGTAATCATGTTGAACCATGATTTCTGATCTTTCAGCTGAAAAACAGAAAACTTCCACAAGTGATATATTAATATGATTTAGAAATCATAATTCTTTTTAGTGTATCTTTTGAATAAGACTGGCATTTTGATGCAAATTTCTGCCACAGAAGATTCAGCATATGTATAGAATCAATTTTATCACTGTAATTTTTGATTGTAACGTTTGTTTTGAGCTGACTAAAGTATTCATTAAAAAAAAAGGGAACCTTTGTTTTTCTTCTTTCTGGAAATGTAAAAATTTGCTTATTAATGCCATTTTTAGACAGAATCAAAATTGTTACCATCTATACAAATATATAAAATTTGAAAATAATATAGTGTCACAATGTTGTTTGTGTAAAGAGCATTTTTTATGATAAATCATTTCTCTTGATGTACTTTATGGTGTTTGAATGTGATGTATAATTTAATAATTGCAATTCTTGATGTATGTGGATATTTATATATTTTCAATTTTAGTAACTTTGGTTGGTATGCATTATATGGTTTTGTCTTTTATTATTATAGACACAAATGATGGAACACCAATTGCTTCGACTCTCTTTCAGTGTTTAGAAAGGTATTTCTAATTTTATTACTTTGAATATATTTTTCTTAACTCTAAGCCAGTATACTTAAGTACTACAATATTTTTTTAAGCTAACATATATTTCTGCATTCTTGAAAACATGTGGTGAATTTATTCAATTCATCTAACTGCTTTGCCTTAAACAATTAACAAACTAATCAGCATTTAATGTAACAAAATTTAAATTGACATAATATGTAGGATTTATCTTCAATCCTGTTGACTAGTAATAAGCATAATTTACAACCAAAAACCTGAATAATAATTTGCTAAATCACATTTGACAAGTGTTTAAAAAAGTATACAAAGTTCCCCCCCCCCCAAATTCTGAAAAGGTAGTTCTTTTTATGAAAACATGAAGTGGAATATGTAGTTCCAATCAGTTATGTTAAAAAATTTCAGCCATTTATACTGATGAGCCAAAATGTTATGATCATTCCCACATTTTTCATTAAATTCATCTGGATGATGTGAAAGATGTGTGATTAATGGGAACAGTATTTAACTGGTGCTGGAAAAGGTAAGGAATCATTCTTGCACTTACTTTTGCGAGTGGGGAAAGAATGCTGATACAGTCAAAAGTCGTTAATCCGGACTCGTCGGGACTTTGGCGATTCCGGATTATCGATTTTTCTGGATTATAGATCATCAGTTTAAATCTGGTAAAATGGCATGCAGAAATTATAAAATTAAAAATATGAAACCGTAATTTACGAAATAAAGAACAATTATGATCTAAAGGGTATCAAAATTTACAAAAAAATGCTTAATATTTATTTGTTTACTTTATTAAACATTTCTTTCAATGTAAGTTGTTTCAGTTGCTTCGTTTTTATATGATAATACATTCTCTTTAATTCTATAAATAGACATAATTTCTTGTTCAGTTACAAAGTTCCACTGTTCAAGTCCTATAATTGCTGTGTCGAGAATGCCGACTAATTTGTCAATCAAAATTTTTTCGTTTTCAATAACCTCTGTCACTTTCTTCGCTATCGGAAGCGAATTATGATGACGAGGCATTTGATTTAAATCATATCAAAGACAGAGTACATCGAGATGAAATACTACATTGAATAAGCAATTATAAGCCAAATAAAATAAAAACATCTGCCCTTAAGATAAGGATAGTGCTGACAGATCAACTTCCAATTCATTGCACGCCGCAGCGTTAAAGATAAACAAAGTTTAGATAAACAAACATTAAAGTTTAGATAAACAAAGTATATGCCTTTATCCATTTTTTGCAGCAATTCCACTTTTTGTTTAATGGACTCCGAAAGATACTTTCGCTTTGTATATCCTTTACATATTAGTAAATATATATTGGAAACTCTATTTGACATAATCGAAAGTTCAAGCTTACTTTTATAAAATTGCTCTAACAGTCTGCAAAAAATAATAATCCAGATCCAATTCAAAGATTAAGGAACAACGCAACCTGCAACATTAATTGAAATCAATAATTAGATAATTTTAGCTTAGCTTATCCCGTCCGTTATACATTAAACGCGCATTCGTAAACGTATTTTGCGCACACGCACACGCAAATTCGCAGCGGTAAAGGTCTTCTGCTCATGCGTCAACGCGACGCATGCGCAGAAAGTTTGTAGCTTTTAGGTCCGGATTATAGATCATTCCGGATTATGGGTGTCTGAATTAACGACTTTTGACTGTATAAGCAAATTTGATAGAGAGCAGATTGTAATGGCTCAAAGACTCGAACAGTGTATCTCCAAAACTGCATGACTGGTAGGTTGTTCATTATCTACCATTGTTAATATTTATGCAAAGTGATTAAATGATGGTGAAACCAGCAGTAGATACCAAGGTGTTGGACGTCCATGCATCATTAAAGAAAAATGACGGAGACTGTTCCATTTGGTACAGCAAAATCACCACCAGACAGTGGCTCAGCTGACAGCCCAATGCAGTGTAGGTCCAAGTGTTTTGGAACACACAGTTCAGCAAACATTGTTGGATATGAACTGCACAGCAGATGTTCCACTCATGTGTCTCTGTTGACCAGGCATCATTGTCAACTGTGCTTACAATATTCCAGGAAGCATCAAGATTGGACCATGGATGAGTGAAAGACACTTGCCTGGTCAGATGAATCATGATTTCTCATTCATTACATCAATGGTCATATCAGGGTATGACATCTTCCAGGCGAATAGTCCCCCTGCCCCCGTACAACAGGTCATGCACATGCTGGTGGTAGTAGTATTATGCTTTGGGAGATATTCTCATGGGTGGTTCTGAGACCCTTAGTTGTTGTAGAACAGACTATGAAGGCTGCAGACTATCTGAGCATAATTACAGTTCAGATGAACTCTTACATGGCATCTGCCTTCCCAGCTGGAAATGAAATCTTCCAGCAGGACAGTGCCCCATGTCACAAGGCTCAAATTGTGCTCAAATGGTTTGAGGAGCATAAGAATGAATTCCAGTTAATATCCTGGACACCTAACTCACCAGATCTTAACCCAATAGAATACATTTGGGATGTCATGGAGTGGCAGCTGAGAGCTCAAACACCACCATGTAGGAATATCTCGACTTTGCGTGACCGCTGCTTAGATATTTGGTATAACTTGTCTCCAGTCATCTGCCAAGAACTTGTGGAATCCATGCCAAGACAAGTTGCTGCTGTTTTGGTGGCCAAAGGTCACCCAATGCGTTATTGAGTAGGTGATCATGATGAATAGCTGTTCAGTGTATGCTATTTAGTGTTGTCAATTAAAACTATACATATTAGTACAAAGAATCTTAAAAAAAAGTCATTGAAATAGATTTAATGACATCTTACTTAAAAGTCTGAATTTTAATTCGATCCCAAGACATGTTGTTCAATTAATTTTAAATATCCATCCAAAGAAGAAGGGGGAATGTGAATTTATTAAGTATACAATAAATATCAATAGTAACCTACAAAAATCAAAGATTCTCAACATTTCAATGCATCATTTACTAGAAGTGTTTGGTGAGGAACATGTTAGAAAAAGATTAGAAATTATCAGATTAATTTTTGAATCATTCCCTTTAGTTTCAGATGATAAAATTTAAGAATAAATATCTGAAAAAGTAAACATTCAATATTTATGGGTTTTCCAAATTTCATTTAGATTTTTTTTTCTTTGTGTGTGTGTGCATGAATGTATTGTAATGTAAACAGAATTCAGCTTTCCTTCAGAAATTCATTGCAAATGATAGAATATGAGCATTGTGAGGTATGCCATTTCAGGAATCATATCACCAACTGCGTAGTGTAAAGAACAACAGAATCATTAAGCAATGTCTGTCTGCATGTGATTGCCATTTGTGAGTGAAACTTGAATACAGTGCAGCAATGATCTCAAACTGGCAGCCTGCCTGCCGCATGCAAACCCCGAAACAATTATACGTGGACTAGCATTATTATGGCAAGAATATTGAGAGATTTTAATGATTCTGGTTCCAGTTTTACCTTATTTTCATTGCCATTAAAAACAAGAGTGAATGATAGAAAAAAAAACATCCACAAATAGAACTAATTAATTTACACTGCTATATAAATCTTATTCAAAGATTTGAAGGTATTGATTTAAACCTTTTTCATGCTTGTCAGAAGATAAATGTATTTAATCATGAATTTATGTAATAAGAATAACCACTTCATTTGAGAATATATTTATATGTGAGCAGCTTTTTTCTTGTGTCTAAAAAAAGAACCATACTGATCAGTGAGCATCTACAATTCAAGATGTAGATAGTTTCTAGTAATTTTTATCCATTGTTACAAATTTTATTGAAATCAAAATGCTATGAAGTGTTATAGCTGAAAACTGTAGTAAAAAATAAAGAAGGTTATACTTATTTACATTCAGATATATGTATTTTTGTGTATGCTTCAACCAAAAATTTAATAAATGAAAGAAATATAATAAGTTATTATTATTTATTCAAGTTTTATTCCTTGGAAAGTTTTTTGTAATGTGTTTATTTTTAGTTTAACTTAAAAATAATTTATTTTATGTTAATTCAACATATTAGTGTTATTTGAAAAAAGTATCAGTCTTATAAGGTATTTCTCCCGCTTTCCTAGTGTGCCTTTGTGGTGTAGTGGTTCTGCACACTGGGCCGGTATTTTAGAGGTCCGTGGTTCGATTCCTGGCGAAGGCGATAGCTCACTTTTCATCTTGCCTGCTTCCAAAAAATACCTAATGTCTCTACAGTCTGAAAACTTAATATTTAGCTATCAGTGCTGTTCAATTACAAAGTATAACCAATGGAAATTTCTAAATGGATCCCAGGATTAGATCTCAGACAGATAATAAATATAAATTGTATTTAGCTATCAATGCTGTTCAATTACAAAGTATAACCAATGGAAATTTCCAAGTGGATCCCAGGATTAGATTTTAGACAGATAATAAATATAAATTGTAATTTTTTCCTTTGCATCATTATTAATGCTGTTTGTATATGTTTCGATAAGCACATTACAAATTCTGAGATCCAGACATGTCAGGACTTCAGCGATTCCAGATTTGGGATTCTTCCGGATATTGAATCATCAGTTTAAATCTAGTAAGATGACATGTGGAAATGATAAAATTAAAAATATGAAACAATAATAAAAGAATCAAAATTTATTAAAGAAAAGGAGAAGCTGAATATTTATTTGTTTGCCTTTTTAAACATTTCATTCAGTGTAAATTGTTTAATTTTGCTCTTTTTTATACTAATACTTTCTCTTTAATTTTATAGATACACATAGTTTCTTTTTCAGTTACAAAGTTCCTTTGTTCATTGTAATTGTGTGACAGGAATTCCCACTACATTGTCAATCGAAACATTTTCATTCTCAGCAACCTCTCTGTGAATTTCTTCATTGCTGGGAGTGAAAGTTTCTAGATTTATAACCATATTACAGGTTCCACAGTCCATTAATTGACTGATCATTGGGGAACTATCATCGCAATGAAAAACTTCTGTTATATCATCTT